ATATAAAGAATCATGAGTGGATGTTGTGGTTATATACTGCTAATTTGCATGTACCAAATTGGATCGAGACTAAGATCAAAAATCATCCAAAGTCTTTTCTGTCTCAATGAAACGTTATCAGTCCATAGAATTGTATACATGCTTATTATTTAGTAATATGTGCTAAGAGCCCTTATTAATGTGCGCTAACAAAGAGTGCTTTATTAGCATGAGCTAATAATGTCCTTGTAACCTTGTACCTTGTAATTATAAAACCATTCCTTGAAAGATATATATATATATATATATGAATTCTGCACATAGCAGGGAAACATTCTTCCTTTCTTTTATCCTCCAGATTGGTATTTCTGAAATTCATCTTGAAAACGAAAATTCATCCTGTGGCGACATTTATAGGATTAGCTTTATGTGTTAATTTGTGTTTCGCAATTCTTAATGATTTAATGATTATTCTACGCTAATATTGTTTCATTTATTTAATGGTTTAATCACCCAAGTTTGAGGTGAAAATGAAGAAAAATTTGCGACTTTGTTTTACGTTGCGCAAGGTACTTCCAAGAATACAAAAAGTTTTCACGTTACCCTAAATAATTTTCATTATTAATTGTACGTTTCCACATGTGATGAGTGTCGTGCAATGTGTACCTGTCGTCAAAACGAAACCTCAAATAAATGAAATAAATTTCTCATTCACATTCTAAATTAATGCTAACGATACTATGAATCACTTTTAACATATCTACATTCCTTAAAATTATTTCCCACACTTTTTTGTTGTTATCTTATCTAACCAATTTGCATCCTTATGTTTAAACCTTTAATTTCCCATGTTAATCTTTCTGTTTAATCTTGTTATAATGCTTGTACCATTTCCGGTGTGTTTCCGTACTTGAATTTTTCATGTAAACCACTCCCATTTCTTAACACATAATCTCGGTCCCAAACCAAGGGGGGGCGGGGCTCTTCTTTCCTCTTCCAAGGATATCGGCTTATTCTTCTGCTTATTCCTCCCTTCTACGGACATTGGCGGATTTTCATCAATCTCTTCTCACGATAAAGGTTAATATCCCTTACTCTTGCGTATTCACAAGACAAATCGACTTCCTGACTAACGCTTTTGCACTAAGTTAGCGCTTCATTTGGATAGATTCGATTGGAGTTTAATTACCCAACCTCTGAGCTCGGCAAATAAATTATCTGGCGGTCATTATTATTTCACAACAGTACCCAACATTTCAAATACCCAACATTTCAAACACTCGTCTTCCCATGAACTAAATTTTATCAATTATCAATTCCACAACCCATATTATGAAAAAATCTAGAAGTGGAAATAAGCACAGATAAGATGTGCAAATTTTGAAAAGTAGGCTCGTCGAAGATTACCACAGGTCAATAACATATTTTAGAGTTTCTCAAATGTTAAATGGTGAGGGAACCAACCAGATATAAATCACTGTAAACAAAAAATTGGGATAACAGCTTTTGCGCCTGCAACGGAAAATAAATCGAAATGAGGAAAAACAAAGTTGAGAATTGAAAAGCGTTTCCAAACTACACCTACACCAACCTACATCAATCATTTCAACACGACATGGCTGATTATAATTATAAATTAGTCATCTTTGGCGTGAGCTCTTCCTGACAGTCTTTAAAATGAGATGGCACAAATCTGAGCAAACATGTTCCAGTATGAAGTTGAACTTCATTCCATATATGGATTTTATGCCCATATTTATAGCAATGGTACCTTATGAAAACACGATCACTCTACTCTTCTTACTTTTCTCTAACATTAGATTTTTTTGTTTCAGTGCAATTTATGTGATCCCCTTGAATATGTGCTACCAAGAAATTTTAAAAAATGGAAATATCAAGTGGATATGGCTACATTCCGCATTTGCACGATCAGCCGAGAAATAATAAATGCAATCTTTCAATTTATTCAGAACATTATTCGATAACAAATATTAAATCAAATAAATCCCAAATACATCTGTAAATTTCATCTTTACCCTCTAGACTTGCGGACATTCTCGACAGATGTCCATGGAGATTAAACTCTATTCTCCTTGGCAGTTGTGTATGCTCAAAGCTAGCAGTTCTCCAGAACATTTCGCCGACAGGTGAAACATCCGGCAGAAAGAAGGTATAGAAGATGGAACCAATAAACTTGGAATAAATAAGAACCGACTTTTCCTTCGTATGCAAAGTGACGAAAATAACCGAAGCCTATATTGAATAGTTTGCAATATCATGGACAACTCACATTAATCAATCTTGCAGTCACCTGAGGAATTACAACGAGCATGTAGTCCGCTGCAGTAAATGTTGTTACCTGCTGTAGAATCTCGAGAATAGCAACATCAAAATCCACCGTAACAAATAATTTGATCTCTTTCGGAAGTGAACCTATGATTACAGGAACACTTAAATACACATGAATTAGCACTGCTGCTGTTTATGGGCAGGATGACATTGTCTCTCAGCTTCTTTTTCCTCTGGTCATCAATTTTTCTTGCATCAATCACTGATTATATTCCTTGTCAGGTGGTTCTCATTGAGATATTTTCATAATACCTCATCAATCTAAAATAGAAGTCACTCGTATCCTTCTCTTTCTATAATATATTTGCAACCAAACGCTTTGGAAAGCATAAACTGTAGCCAGAAAACACACATAATATATATGCAGTCTTGTAGGTTTACGACACAAGCACTGAGTTCTCCGTGGCGTTTGCCAAGCAACAATTCTTTCTTTAACAAGGCCATCAATGTGAATAAATTTTGCCGCAAATTGCGTAGTTTATTCGATATCTATCATTCCAACGCCCTGTTAAACAAATGTACCTAAAGTACAACAGATTTAATTGAGTTTATTAACGAGTGTTGTTGACAGATCATTTCTGGATAAGCTCAGAATTCGAGAATTTCAGTGTATGTAGTAATGTAGTATGTAGCACACGTCATCGAGAGAAAGAGTAGCAAAAAGATGAGGACCTGAATATGCTCTAATGACCAACTAAATTAATATCGTTATAGCCAATAACTAGTGCTTATCTTTCTCCATGGACACCCCCAAATTGTCGCTGAGGAGAAGCTTGCGTGCTCTAATGTGGTTACGAGCTACGTTGACAGTGGCTGTCTCCGATAGGGTCTCCCATCTAGATAGGCTTCAACTGAAGGGCTAGATAACGTATGTTTACGGCAGGATGGGCTCACTAGCTTTCCGGCAACCATCCTAGGAGGACAACTCTTAACTACAAACCTAGGCAGGTGAAGCTCTTTTAACCCCGTAAGGTCATCCATCTAAGAGAAGGATACTCTTACAAAACCTACTTTTGAGAAGTTCACTGTCACCGTCCTGGTTCGCTAGGACCCCAGAGATAATTCTTAGAAATGAAGGATGGGCCAATTCCGCGCACGCTGTGCTTTACCTACAAAATTCACTGCGCAGGTTGGAAGGGAACATCCACATTTTTAGCGTTTGCAACAGGCGTAGATTAAGCCCTTCCCAAACCCCCATTCGCGAAGCCTAGCCATGATGAGTGTCCATTAGATGACATTCATACAACGTGCAGAACACAGGATTATCACTTCATTTTACTACGTCGACAGATTGGAAAATGATTTTCTGAACCATTAAAACCATCTTAATACCTACATGCATTCCAACTTCAGGCAAAACGATCCGTAATATCTAATTCAGTATTAAGTCGCTGATCAAATTCTTACGAAAAATTTAAATCCCGAATGGTGAATTTATAAGACAATATATGTAGAATAAAAATTATTTGCAATTCAAAAATCAGCAATCATATTAGATAAATTTTCACGAAAATTTAATTCTGAATCATAAGAGAAATCTCTTGCACAAAACCTTTTTTTAATGAAATAACTTCATTTCATGCATACAACAGCATATAACTACAAGCATCTTAAAGTGCGCTTACACTAATTCCTTAACGAATAACATTGATACCGTTAAAGTCAGCAGATTTTTTCTAAATCAATCATCAGCGTTTACCACTTCTTGGTCGGTATTTCTTCTTCACCACCTTTCCACTTCAGTTTCCATACTAATGGTCCACCATAGAAGCTTCCAGATTTGCGATGTATAACCTTATTTTGCAAACTCCACTCTGACACTCTCATGTATTGCCAGCATAACCCAGTAATGTATATAACGAAGCCCAACGAAAAGCCAGCAAGGAAATTATCTCCTAAAATGAACACAAATTTGAACAGATATCACAAAACTCTTCATTCCCGATAAGAAATCTCAGAGAGCAGGAAAAACTAGTATAGTCCCAAAATATAAGTAATAATACTACAAAATGAGCGCATGCAAGATCTTGCATAAATGTACTCGATGCGGCCGGAGTAGTGCAAAAGCGAGATTTTAGAAAGCGTGCACAAATAATCATACTGACAGCTGCTAGTTTACGAATTCGTATTTTTTCAAAGAATATTTATTCAAGGAAGGACTTAAAATTTGCAAACAACAGTAACTTCTGCTTTTGAATTATCTTCCTAAAAAAATTTTTTATTTTTATTTTTATTTATTTTTTTAAGGATCATTTGACAAGTAAACGAAATATATCATTGAAATTCAGTCAGAGAAAATGACTGACATCCTAGAGATGCCTGGAAATCAATAAATGAATTGTCCTCATAAGCCAGAGAAATTCCATGAAATCTTCATTTCCCCAAAATTATAAACAGCCAAACCTGAATTTCAATTACTTACTCATTGTTGCAAAAACAATCCCTGTTGAGGTAGATGCATACAAGTGGTTCATGAAATCGTCTTTGTTTCTTACCATTGCTGCACCGCTCAAAGTTACACCCCACGTGAAGGCCAATGTAGCTGAAGTGGAACCGTTTATGCAAAAATCAAAGATGACTTGATTAATCTACAAGAAAGCAAGGATATTTCGTAAAGGGGAATGATGAACAATTCAACACACAAACAATACCAAGGTGTAACAGTATTAAATGAGATCTTGGAGAGTTTATCCAACAGCTAAAGGCAACTCAATTCTGGATGATGGCACAACTCACTAACTGAATCATAACAGTTTTCCTGCCTTTCAGCTTCCTTGACAAAAGGATAATAATGGACTAATTTCATCAAAAACTAAACTTCTCGAAAATTAAACAAAGCATTTAATTACTGTTCCCGCAAAGACCCAAAAAAGAAAAAAAGAACTGAAAAAGAGTAGATCTTCGAGAAATAACCTGGAGTCGGCAAAAGCTTAAAATATGTCTTCATTACTGACAGTGGAGTAATTGGCACAGGAAGTACATTGTGACCTCGAATATGTAAACCAGTGTACGGGATCACTGAAAAAAAGATCTAAAGATTCAGTCTATCCAATTTCATTTTCTAAATTGTATTTTTCTTAGTATCATAGCGAAGCTGTATCCGAGTCACAGTTCGTCAGCTGTCCTGCATTCTTTTAAAATACTCTATTTATTTAATTATTCAGTTACACCTTTACTTTTAAACAAGATGCAAATAATTAATTTGATAAAGCATAATAAAAAGAGACAGAGAAGCTCAGAAAAGAAAGATACTTACAAAGAAAAGCCGTATACTGTGCACAAGCCAGTCCCTTTACGATGGGATCTTCATTAAGCGGGGAATTGAAGAATCGAAATAACTTCGGCACCCACCACGGTGTCCTATGTCTGGCCTAAACAAGAAATTATTTTTCTCCACACAAAAAAGGAAAAAATACAAAAAAATCACTATCACTAATCACTATGACTATCTCAAAAACTACCCGGATCATGTGTTGCCCCATTATTTTGACTAGATGGTCAACTAATCTATTCACATGCAACACTTTGTAGAAAGGGAATTGAACAATTATATGTCTGTAATATAAAAAAGTAGTAAACCAAACTCAGCATTTTTAATGACTTGCCAGGAATTCATGGTAGTTGTTGTTGGCACGCATTACTTTCAAGCCTTGGTGAAAAGGCCATGGTCCTTCAGTTAACTCATATTTTGCGGCGATATCTTTATACTGTGTGGAATTTTTGTATAGCTGAAATGACAAGGAATGAACAGGTAAAAATCAGTGACATCGCAAAACAAAGGACTAGCAAAAAAAAAGCTTATTTAACTTATTATTTAGTCTGTCATGTAGCAGTTCCAACAACGAAGCTTCGAAGTCACCACCACTGGCTTTTTTGTTATACAAATATTCAAAGTGAGTTGGAGTGCTACGCAGACGTAGCTAGCTGTTCTATAGCTTAACAAATTCTCAGTCCACGCTTTCTGTATCTATAATGTCATCGGAACGGAAACGTTTCCTTTTTTTTTCCCCATCCTTCATTGGCAGCCTAACTTGAGCTCATTCCACAATGTTTCGTTTGGATAACTATTTTTAACAATGCCTAACAACCCTACCTTATTCATAAATTCTTCGTAATTCCCTGGCTGATCACCTTTCCGTGTTAAATTGGGATATCTTGTTGAATCGAGACCCATTGGACCCGCAAGAGAAGTTCCATCGGGCACTTTAGGATCATAACTGGAAAATGTTCCCTTGCATACCAAATGCAAGAATGACCAGAAACGTTTCTTGCTTGAATCTATGTCATAAATAACAACCCCTTTGGACGAAAAATTTCAAACCTAGATTTAAAACCAACTATTCAGGATCATGCTCTCTTAGCTGTGGTCCTGCAAGACACATTTTGCCGTTTTTCGTTGCCGCATCTTCCCACCCAAGTTCGGTCCACCATGACTTACGTACTTTGCTTCTGAATAAAAGAAAATGTCGAGAATAAACGCATAAGAATTGGAAGAAAAAGTTTCATTTAGTTAGAAAGGCTATGTTGTCTCAGGACTTAAAAATCTAAACATAAGTGGTAAATCGAAAAGATCAATGATGAACAAACTGGTCGCGTTGATCCCAACGTTTATTCCAGTAACCAATCCAGGCCGGTCTGGCTGGCGTATAGGTAGCTCGCAACGGTTCATCACCTTTTTCAAACTCGGCCATAACAATGCCAATTCCTGAAATGCAGACTTTTCATTGTTTACGCACATTTTCATTCCGAATAACTGAGGCAGCCATAAAATAAATCCATTCCTGTAATTAATGGAGGAGTAGTAAACTCTCTGATGCCGACAGTTCAAATCATATATCAAAAACGTCATATACCCAAACCCTCTCACCTTGACCACTTGCAAAACTCCGCGTATTTAACCAACCATCATTGTGTTTAGCACGTAGAGCTACGATGATGAAAACATTAAATCCCTTTGCACGTCAACTAGTCACCGAGTGATAGTTGACGATTTGTGATAACACGGTTTGTGGTGACATAGTGTTATCAGGAGTCGTGTTTCCGTGAATCGTAATTAACAGTATTACCATCATTTTATTGTAAGTCTAGATAACTAGACCAGTGGTGACATAATATAAAATTTTTGTGAGCATCATCTTATGAAAATGGACAATTTTCGAGACACTTAACAAAATGACTTTTTTCTCGGTTATTAAGTTAAAAGTTCAAAATCGAGCAACTGGGAAAAAAAAGACCAAAAAATCTTTCAAAATACGGATTTGGCAAGGTCTTAAGCGAGAATGAGTCAAGTATGGAACAAATACGTATATTCAACATATCACATACTCATAGACTCCGTCTAATTTACATTACCGTCAATCAGATCAGATACGGACGTGCTTTCTACATTTGTCAATCTCTTTGTTCACTGTATCCCGAAAATCGTCGCAGTTACAAAGAAAAGTCTTTTCAATACCTATCCTAGGGTATATGCTACTATGTACTGAAGCACAAGTTGAGACTTAGTTGCTTCAGATTAGTAAACATGGCGAACGATTGATATTTAACATTTGAAATGAAATTCAAGCTTGAGATTAATTTCCGGAAAAAGTATTAAACTTTCTCGCCTAAGGAAAACAAATATCTCTCCTTCAGTTGTGTTACATTCTGAATCGAACTCGGAAGTTTTACCTGTTATTATGAAGCAAACGGAAGAAGCGTAAAGATTTTTCTGAACCTGATCCGAGCTTCAAGTGGGGGAAAAACAAAGATGGAGGCGGGGGTCATCACCTATGGGTTCTTCATAGCACATGCATGCAACATAAGCTAAAGCTGTAATGTTGCAAGGAAAAAGTATAGGGATTGATCGATGTGACAGCGATGATTTATTGTTAATTTGGTTGTGCCACTACGCAGAAGCAACGTGTGTGGTCTCGGACATCTTCCTCTTCCTCCTCCTCCTCCCCCTCACCGTCGTCAATGTCCGTCCCGACCTTATGTTGTCGCGCCGCGGGTTCTGCACATCTTTCCACGAATATATCTCGATACATCCAGAAGAGGTCAAGGGTTATCATAGATATATATTGTTATTTCCATAGTAAATAACAAAACGATCTCCACAGCTCGGCGGCACTGCAGGAATTTTTCAACTGAATGGCTAAGACGACGACAAATTAAACGAATGTTTACAATTATCAAGGATAAGGACCACATTCAGATGGTCATTCAGATGGTTTTTATCTTTGAGGATATCCAGGATTCTTTGGTGGAGAAAAAAATTCCGCAAAAGAATTCTAGAGAAATTTATCACAGGGCAGAAAAGAAGAAAAGGCAATGGAACAACATGGTAAGAGTCGAGAAAAATGTCGAAGTCGTCAAGAACATGAATTCAAATATCAGTAGTTCAGAGTGATGTAATAACCTGAAGTACTTATTCTAACTTTCCATTTACTTATGCAAATTTAGCCCAGTCTGTTGTACGCTTACTTCAATGAAAATGGAGCAAGGATCAGATCCACGACTTATCTGAAATTATGCAATTAACGGACAATTTAGATTGAAGCGTAATGCATTTGTTTTTGAGGCTGTGGAATTGTACGATGTTATAAGATCACATTAGACGATACTGATCTTAGGTATATTGGCATAACTTAGAAAGGAAGCTAAGTCATAGATCAGCAATCGATACATTTGATACCAAATCACTTCATCTGTTTGTGATCTTGGGGTCATGAATGTTGTTTTAAGAGATTTCTTCAGAAATTATGGGTGCGTTCCAAAATTACGCGAACGCCTTTGACTAATATGCAGCAAAAGGTTAAATTTTAGGACTTATATCTCCTTAACACAGCGATTGGTAGTAGCGACTGACGAGAAAGTGACAACTTCTGGAAGAGAAACTTCGACACAACCACAAAGTACTTAATAATTCTATTTAATTAATATGCTATTTTGAAATGGAATATTTCCTAATTCTAGTTTCTATCCATACTTTAACAATTTTATTATTTGGGATTCAATATGATGTATACGCTTCCATCCCAACAACTGATGAAGGTAAGCTTTTCAGTGTTAAAACTTTTAGAAATAACAGCAATGATATTTTGGATTATTTCAGAGTTTCCTTCTATATTTCTAAATTCACTACTGGCTTCCATTCCATCTGAACGATAAACATGCAGTAGTAAATCTTCAAAGTATCCTTACTACCCTCAATTCGAAGAGATTTCCCAGAGAGCCATTGTTCAGAACTTCTTAAATTCAGCTGGGGTATTCGGAGGATATTGTATTACTTAATGACCTGTCAGTAGAATGTTAACTGAAGCTTTTATGAACACGAAACTTATTTTATTCGTCTCTCTTTCTCTCTCTCAGTAGTGGCCCGATGTTGTTCTAAGGAATATGCTGAATGCTGCACAGAATCAGTCGATTTTGCAAAACCACTTCGTTGCAATGGCATGATGTTAGGAACGAGAATTGACGTGACCCAGTGCATCCAGAAGAAAATGTACGGAGAACACCATCCAATGCTTCTTAACCTTACAGGTCAGTTTTCAATCCAATTGCTGATATTATTGGTGACTGACTTGTTATGTATTCTGATATCAACAAAAAGAAGTAAATGGACTAGGGAGCTAAATAAGGCTAAAATTTGATACACCAGTCAAAAATGGATATCGAAAGAGAATATGCAAATCTCCCGGTCAAAACTATAATCTGCATTCTAGATGCATTGTGTTGCGATGTATTTGCTGATGATGATAACGATGAGAAGGGGCATTGTCTTACAGAATGCATTACAGTAATGCAGATACCTGCTCTCAGGAATGACAAAAAATTGAAAAGAATCAAAGGATGCAGAAGAACAAACCAGCTTTATAAAGTAACCTTAAATTTTAGATTCCAAAGCCATTTCAAATCTTTTGAAACCAAAAAGAAGTGTTACTTAAGACATTATAACTGCAGAATCCAATGCAAATTAGAAAGCATTTTTGTGAAAGTCCCTCATCTTATGCACAAAACTAAAAACCCAAATCCTAACCTTTGAGAACTAAACAGAGCGGTAGGAGGTCTGGGAATTTTAACAAATTTGAAAGAAATATTATCACATTACTGAATCGATTTCACTTTGATATTATATCAAGATATTCACTGTTGAAATAGCGATAGTACAAGAGAAAAACTAACTGCTCATTTAGACCTTTTCCAAACATAAAGTGACCTTTTCAGAAGTTATGGCTTCAATGGAAGTTCATAAAATTACAAGCATATTAAAAATCAATTGTAAATAAGGTCATCCTCATGATCATTAAAGCAAAAAGCAAAATTAAGATTGTGAACTAACTTTGTTGATCTTTGTTTGCTTTTGGCAATATATATTTATGTTATTAATGCAGACGATTTTATTGGATAAAATAAACAAAATAATTGCAGTGTTTCACTCGATGTCTACAATGGTTGCACAACAAGACTGAAGATGAAGTATTGGATTTTGAGCAGGAATGCTCCATCAAACTGAAAATGTTGCCGGGAAAAGTATATATTGGTCCCGAAATTAAATGACTGACTTTCAGTTTTATTTTCAACTACCTTTCAAACTTCAGCTGAACTGTTTGCAAACACTAGTGTCAAGCTTGTAATTGTATCTTACATGATTTAGTGTAACATATAGTCAATCGAATTTGATGGGAAATGTTAATTTAAATTTTTTGAAGCAGTAAATGATTTCGATGAAGTTTCCACTTGAGTGTTGTTAGAGAAGTCCGTTTTCAAGTTTTTCTGCTGTTTTAGGGCTAAATGACCGAATCCGAAAATGTGCTTTATTTGTTTCTCCCACTTCACGCAATACAGTGTTCATTTAAAATCCACGTGGAATCATGCAACTCTGAAATATTTTAGTAAAACATATTACTTCAAGAAATATGAGCAGAAATAGTATTTGTGAAAGTGTTATCCATGGTGACTCTCAAATAACTCTTGAAGCTAACCTATTCCAAATCTATGACGTCATCGAATGTAAATGCAAGTATCCACCGGATGAGCCAATCAGTCGTCCATCAACGCGTTCTGTCGTCTACCCTCCCTGTACTATTTCCTCATCACCCTTCGTGTCAGCTATATTCTGCTCTCATTTTGTTGCGCAGTATTTCCAACGTGTTAATGTCCACTGTGCTCAATTCATTATCACGGATGCTGTTCCAATATTTTATTTCCTTTCTTTCCGAAATTGGCAATGAGCGGTGAATAAGTGTTTACCATCCAAAATTTGCATAAAACTGGACATGCTTTTTTCTCAATAAGCTGTATTCCCTAAACGTCTTTCTCTCTCTCTCTCTCCTTAAAATAAATTTCCAGTTCTCTTCTGCAAACGCTTGCACATTTGGCAAGTACAGCATATATATAGAATTATCTGTAGCTATGGCAGTGTCCTCAAGTCAAGTTCATGTCGAAACAACTGCCTCTGTAAAATTTCAAGTAATTTGTCTGATTTGGTGGAATTAGAATGAAGTAATGGGGAGATGATCCATTTCATGTCCTCATAGGTATGTTATTTCTTCATGAACTTTCACAAGCGTTATTATCGTATTAGTTCTTTGCTGCAGAATTGATAACCGTCATTTTCATCAGAAAATATAACTATCAGGAATGTCCACGAAAGTTAGTCAGTCATCGGTGGAGATCATGTCGCAGGTCCAGAAATCTTCAGCAGTATGTCTCAATACTGGAAATATTCAGCGGCACCCGGAACTGTTTCGACAGTTATTCAAAAATTCAGCGGAAGAACTTGTGGCTGCGCTTGAACATCAGCTTGATGGACCAAATGGACCGGATTTGGCGATGAGGTCGGTTATGTCGTAATTCATGGAATTCGAAGACAGGAAACTAAAAGTTACACTTCCTTCAGAAACAGTAATTCCGAACTTCAAGCGGAGAGAAACTTCAACGAAAAGAAAATAATGTTATCCAATATTAAAAAGAAAAGTTTCAGACCGGACGGTACAGTAATGCTTGCTCGTGATTCAGAAAACTGCCGTCTAAATACCATCGAAAAAGCCGACATGAAGATAACTTTAAAGGTTCATTTTTTGCTGTTAGTTGGCTCGAGATGAAAGGAGGTGAATTTCTGGCTTCTTTTATGATTTTAAAAAAATCACAAAAATTTAATTTTTTCCGATTTAAAAAATCGCAAGAAATCTGGAGCTGTTTTTATAAACGTTCAAAAATATAATGTTATAAGACTCCAGAATAGCTTTTAATTTTTAAAGTCAAGCATTGGAACTACAGGTATTTATGTCTTCATTAGACATAAAGCAAGTGGAAGAAAGCATCGATACAGCACTGCGCGAGATTAACACGAAATCAATTTCTCAGCTGATCATTGCTTTTCCTCCGGATGATAAATTGGTAATCTGCTTTCCATTTTCAAAGGTGTGAAAAAATCAGTGAGGATTGTATCAATCATTTTCGGATCTTAGATCTGATTTTTAGGCTTCGTTCATGATTACGGTTCGGTTCCAAAATAAAAGTAAATGAACGTGTTTCCTTCCTTTCTTCTTCCCATAAAGGCGACATCATTAAAATAATGCAACCGTATAATTTATGAATAAAGTATTTGCAAGATGGAAAAGCCGTACTGCAGTCTTTGTTTTTCGTCTACTATTTTTAAAAGCTTGAAATATGGAAATAAAGAATTTTTACAGGATATAGATCTGTCCGTACCTTCAGAAGTACAGCGGTGGTTGTCGCATATCCTGCCGTTTTGGAAACAGCTGGAAACTTTGGTAAGGACTCATAAAGTAAATACATTGGGTGTAGCAGATCTTGACTATGAGCAGTTAAAAGCGCTTTATGAATCCACTGATGATCATCGCCCAATGATTGACCATTACAGCACTGAACACTGTTGTACGGTTCGGTTTTTTTCTTTTTTTTTTTTGTATTTTCATATAATTTTTATTTAGACTTAATCAAAAATAAGTGTAAATTTAATCGAATGCTTAACGGTTCTCTTATACTTCATCCATAACAGGTTCCTCCTGAATTACGTGAATATGCGAAACAAAAGGACATTCAATTGTTGACCCACAATGATCCTAATTTATACAGTATTAGTGAGAGATTAGATGCTACTACCAGGAAACTGTTTGGAAATGAGCACTTTGAGCTTCTCTTCATTGCGAGGTTTCTTTTTTTTTGGTTCTATTATCATCTGTGCAAATCGCTATTGTTTTGTGGTTGATGATCATGATCAATAGTGATTTGCACAAATATAAGAATGGTTGGAGGTATTAAGCCTTATTCCTTTACAGTCTAGAAAAACAAATTGAAAAACTTTTCCATCAATGGAAAAGGTCCTCCTTTTTTTCTTGAACTATTGAGCAGAAACTGTTGCCATTAAAAGATAAGGCCTACGTTGGTCAAGCAAATTATGCCTAATTGTTGGAAGTCGCAATAATTAACAACAGACAAATATCTTAGACTTTTTTGGCCAATCGATTATAAGCAATGGGAAACACTTATGAATCTGGACCATATTTTTCTGTTTCTCCAGCACTGGTTTCTTGGTTGTTATGTTACTCATTTTTACATAAAGATTTGCAAATATTTGGAAAGAAAAAGTAGTTTGTAGAATTAATAAATTAGTAATTACAGGCTTACAGTATGGTTGCGAAGCCGTTCAATAATCGTTGGAAAGGGTTACATCCTCAAGTTCCTCAGAAAAATTCCTTGAACTGAGAAACGTGGCATTATGTCAGCTACAGTTTTAAATATGTACATGTAAATTCTGATGGTGTAGAAATAGATAAACTTGATGATGAAGGTACCAGGTATAATAGTTCAACTTTTTTTTTAACTGGCGGTATTGCGGACTTTCCACTTCTGCTGCAGTGTCCTTATAATACTCAACAGAAACAGAGATTTTTCTGAATTGTAAACATATATAAGTATAAAAAATTAAAAGAAACCTTATTTGTTGGAAGTCAGCCAATGGATTAACAGAACGATTCAGGGTGTTTCGATAGGTCCACTTCTTTTTATGTCCGATGTAAGAATGTTTGACCAGTAGACATTTATGCTCAAATGACCGGGTCATTATATGGAAATAGGTTTAAATCATTTTATTTAGAAGTTCAGCTTCATTATTTTTTTGAACTGGAATTCTTCTAAACTTTGTACATCATGTATTTGTATCATTTTGGATGGATCACTTATAACTTACTGGTTGTGGAACATTCTTTAAGCGGTGGTTTTTGTTTTAAACATTGACTGTATCCCAAACTTTTCAGTTTTAAAACTAAAAATTTTTAGCCCATTTGTTTGCAAGTGCCGCTCTCTTTTTATTTTTGTTATTATGATGGCTGATAAGAAATTAGTGGTCTTGTTTGTCTTACTGTATATTTTAATATTTCTATCCGATGCGTTCTATTTTTTGTAGACTTCAGAAAATGGATAGTGTTTCGCTTCAGAAGAACACTTCAGAAGAAGTTTTTATTTCGGAAAGTCTGCATTTTCTATTGAAATTTTGCAAATGAAATCTTGTTGTCATTCATTGTACTTAAACAAATTTCTCTTAGATTTTACCAAATCTATACATGAAAGCATTTTGTATACTACAAATAATGAAGATGGAACTCTATATTTAAGCAAAAACTATAATTTAACTGGTTTAAATTTTTTTGTTTTAATCTCGGATGACACTTGAAAAAAGTTTTGGGGCTTACCCACATAAAGATGAATGATTATTTTTTCAAGTTTCACAGTGTACGGTCACATTAAAAATATGATAATGCTAAATAAAGTGCGATATAAAATTTCTTAAAGTACTCTAGCAAGTCTGACTGATTGATACCCTCACAAGTTATTAAAATGCTTTCCATTTGTAAATGAACCAATTTAGTGTATGGAGAAACCATAATTTACGAACATTACTAAGCCGATTCCAGTTTTGACTTCCATACCATTTCAGTGGAAATTACAAAATTGATTAAATGATGGGATGGTAAAAGGGATTGTTTAAAGTCACCAAGTAATTGACAAGTTTTTTGACCACTGGTAATGAGCACATTCAATTTATCAGAACATATCAAGACAGAGCAGCTAACGCAGCTTGTTTGTGATGCTTTCAAAGATCAAAACTTGAAATGCGGAACTATAAACTGCAAATAAATACGAGCTAAGCCCAGGAATTTCTGCTGAATAGCTGATGAGATGGTATGCGCAATACCTAATGATGGTTTCTAATACTAATACTGTTTCTATGATTACTGCGCTATGAGGTTTTATCTATATTGCACTTTAGACGGAATGTGTCAAGTCCCGTACTTTTCCACTGGGCACATTAGACTTGTTATTATGTTTGCATCATTATTCTTTCGCCTTGTCTTAGCTCACAAAAACATGACTATAAGTTTATATTACTTAAATAAGAATTTATTTCGGGAGTATCTCTTTTGGGAGGGTAGACATTGGGCATCGACTCGAAGTTATTTGTGGCACACGCTTAATAACATTATCCCTTTCTACTAATTATAATTATGAAAGAACCCATTTAAAGGAATTGAAATACCATTACTAAATAACCTGCAATTGACTTCAAGTGCTTAGAAGTATGACAGAAGTATAACACTTCTAAATATTCAATAGCTAAAGTTTTGACATTCATACGTTTACCAATCCTTGGAAAAAATATCGAAAATTGATACCTGCCTAATCAAAAATATCGATTTTGAGAAAAAAGTGTACCTGCCAATCAATTTTTCCATGTTCTCGAGAAAATGAATAAGTTACAAGATAATCTGAAAGTACGAAGTAAAAGTTCTCCCAAGGAATTTTCAAATTCCAAACAAATAAAAAACTATAAGTCGTACAAGTTGAATGGGCTCAAAACGGACTCACTAACATCTAAAGAGATACTCTCTGTAAATCGTACAATTTGAACAGGCTTCCTAACATCTAAAGAGCATACAGTTCAACGCTTCTAGAACCTAACGATTTCCACAACGAGGAATTCTTATCAAAACAGCAGCATCACCGCTACCCACCACCAGCCACCACAGAAAACCAATCACAGACCGTCGATTTAAGGATTGCTTGCGACAAAACGATTGTGGTAAGAGGTTTCACTTAACTCTGCTTGTCCCATAATGAAATTCGTAAATCCCTCCTACTGATAAAAGGGTTTTCCGGTATACGGTAGCTTGTAGTTCATAACTTCTTCGTTGGTGAGATTACAATTGTTAAGTTTACGGTCACGTTAAACAGTGTGAAGATTGTAAAAAGAAAGCTATATGACAGGAATTGCGCCCTTATCTTGAGAGTATCAGAAATGAATCGTTCCAATGACTTAAAAGACGTGGGATCTCCTCAATAACTTTGTTCCTGATTCCGTTCTCCTAATGTATAATTAAATTAAATATCTAAGTTAGTCATCCCATCGCTAGAAAATGTCTTTCATTCTTGCTTCAAAGAATGTTACAGTTCACTTAAGCCTACCTTATCAATCTTTTGACTGATGTCGTCATACTATAATCATTACCCAAATAACGGTGGGCCTTCAACTCTACCCAGAAAAGCGGAAAATCTCAAAATTTTTAGCAGGAAAGACTGCGGATGAATCAGGAAAAAAGAGATTTATGATTTACGGCTTTTCGGAAAAGTTATGTGTGTTTCTCCTGCTTTTAAGATTTTTGACCATTCTTTACGGCAACCACATAAAAAGACTTTGCTAAATTCTTACTTTTGAGGTCGCTTACATTGTGGATGCACTTGTCTAAATTCTTACTTTTAAGGTCACTTACATTGTGGACACACTTGTTTTTTATAATTCGAAGTATTTTATGAACAGGACTAGACAGCTGCAAAGTTCCGGAAATCCAGCTTTCCTTTGGGAAATTCGGCAAACTGTAAAAATTACTTAAGAAATAATCAAATGACAAAATATTTCCCGACACTCTACTGTTGAGGTTATCTGTCAACGATATTTTGATAATTCCAGCATGTTCAGTTTCATGCGTCGATATGCTACACGATAACGAAAACAGCTGGTCATGCTGCCATCAATGGTGGGAATGAAGAAACTGATAAAAGGAGTTTGCATAACTTTCCCGGAAGCCGCCTTAAAATGAATTTACTTTTTTCTCGAGCATCTACAGCGTAGATTGTTCTTCAAAAGTTAAGGATTTAAATAAGTCTTTTTATATGGCTGCCGAAAAGAGTTCGTAAAATTCGTAAAATTTTCGGAAAACACTTCGTAAAATTTCCGGAAAATGTTCTTAAAACTTTCTGTTTCACTATGGTAACATTTTATAATTTTTTCCTAAGCCTTAAATCTCAAAATGAACGAGAGAAAAGTATAGATTGGATTTTCGAAGTAAGCTTAAATTAGTATAAGTCTGATTGGTCTGAAAGAAGAGTGTTATGCTGTTAGTGATAATACTTCAGTAATGTCAGTAACTATCACACCTGTTAAGCAAGGGACTAAATAGCTCGGAGATTTATTTCTTTTCGAATCGTAATAATAAACAAGGTAAGGAGTTGTAAGCGGCAGACATATGTTATCAGAGATTGTTTGTTAAGTTGGTAACAGCCAATCTTTGCATTGCAATGGGTTGTCTGCAATAGATTAAAAGATATAGAACAGTTGTGTTCGTTGATAAACTAGTGCTCTGTTCCATTGGCATTCATATCTACTTGTCCCCCACTGAATCGTTCTCTCATCCGGAAAACCCAAACCCATCATCATTCATCTCATTTGCAATTTCCTTGCCATATCATCAAGTCAAAATGAAAGCCCTTAATAGCAATCACTTCTTGCTTTCATGGTAATTTTGGCCCATTCATGGACCTTTCTGACTTGGTAATGTTATAAGTATGCAGAAAATATACTACTGCAGTGTCGTCTCCTGTGACATTTTGTTGATGCTGGTATCTATTATAATATTTGCGAAACCTGCCGTTAAGGTAAGGGCTATTTCAAGAATTTATCATTACGTCCAAAATTTAAATTGCCAGACTGTGTAAACTCCATATGACAGATTAATTGGATAATTTGATTTTTTTGCCACATGATTAGGCAACAAAATCGTAAATTAATGATGTGATGTGGAACCTCCTATTAAAAGTTTCTTTTTAATATGAAACAAAGTTGATGATGATACAGAGTCTCATTCAATTTTCTTCTTCTGCTTTTACTGAATGTGAAAATGTTCTATGAGACGAATGTCTCATAGAACATTTTCACTTCTCAACTCCTTCAAACGCATACAACCATTTTTTATCACATCATCAGCAGTACATTCAATGGAATTGCTCTACTTTATTTTTTTCAATAAGGTTCGATTCTTTCTCGAAATTGCTTCGCTCTCTAAAAGTATGAGGATGATAAATTGATTGCTTGACATACTTATATTATCTATATGCTTTGATATCGATTATCTTCTCCACTTTGTAGCTTTTTAATGAAAGCTTCCTCGATGCTCATTTTTATTTGCTTTTAAAGGATGAGTTCGAATATTTTAATGGGAGAGGTAAAAATGCATATCGTTATGTGGAAAGAAACTCTTAAAAAGACATGAACTAATTTCTTGGAAAAATTTTCTTAAAAAAAATTAAAGAAATTCTTAAACTTTACAATAATATTGACCTCGATTTATACCAGTATTTTTTGTAGAGTACTCCAATATTATGCAGTCAGACAAAGCCGTGGAAGCTGAGTGGTCGAGATATTGTCTCAGATTCGAAGGGTCTCGTTCTACTAGTAGTGCTGATGCCGATGGAATGCGAACATTGCCACAAACAATTGATGAAGTAAATTTATTTTCAAATCTTTTCTTAATAAAAGTTTTCTGAATCCCATTTCAAGACCATTTTCTCGTCGAGCTGAAATTCTTTCAAGAATATTATATTATAGATTTCAAACAGTAATGGAAACACTACCGGAAATAAGGATTGTTGTTGTAGCTCCACATGATGAGAATCCTCGTCTGATTGAGCGCTATCGAGAGGAATTCCCTCGTGTTGCGATCGGTATGGAATCGTTGGATGAGCGAATCTGGAACACGCTGTCAGGTTCTGCTCATGATCACTTTATTTATGATCGGTAAGACATTTATCTTCCTCAGCACTGAATTTTCTTCAATGCTTATTCGCAGACTTTAATTTTGATACATAAATTCTAATGTTATGAAAGTTTAAAAAATACTTACTACCATTCCTAAACTTATATTTTAGCTTATGAAATGTTGATAAAGTCGTTTGTCGTCTTAAAATTGGAAGCGTGTTATTTACAGTGAATCCTTTTTTATCAGATTTGAAAGGTTGCGCTATTTCAATATTGTCCTATTTTAGTATTTTCAATATTACAGATGTGGTCGTCTAGCTAGCATCATTCGACATCCAGAAAGTGATACTTCAAAATTTGAACATACACTTTGGGCATTGAAATTAGCTATTAGTTATGCTCAGTGCGGCTGGTGCCAGTACGATCCACCCGACCTGCCGTCACCTCACAAACCTCTCGTTACAACCCATGCTTCCTCTACGCACAAAGGAAAAACGAAGAGGCCTGTGAGGTTTATCATAGCTGTGAATCTATTATTACTTTCAGAAAATGATACGAGTTAGAGTTCTTCACAAAATTACATTCATTCCATACAATTCAAATGGCGTAGAGTTGACAATGGTTAATCGAAGTTGGGAGCAATAGCAGAGTTCACTTTCAGTAAGCTGTAAAGAGAAAGTACAGATTTTAAATGTCACTGAGAACACAGCTAGTGGTTAGTGACATACAAGAATTTAGTGGTAGGAAAAACGAAGAACTTGGAACTCTTGAATTGTTCAGTAACGACTTCTAGAAGGGGCAATACTTCCAGACATCGAGATGATCTGCTTCACACTTCACCTTAGCAGTGTTTCCTGCATATTGTGACTGACGAGCTAGAATGACATATTCATAATCTTTAGTTAAAAACCATCATATGATGAATGATGAGTAGATGAAGCCAACTGTATCTGAAGGAATTGGAGGAGCGTGGTATTTGCGAAGCACATCTCAAGCAGGCGTTGAGGCAGTGAAACAGTTAGATATCCTGATCCGTGAAATTCCATTCTGTCACTAGTCAATGGATCTTTTTTATAACAGAAGGAAGATAATTAAAACGATATGTAGATCAGCAACTGAAGTGTCACAGTAGACTGGAAGAACTTGCAAAGATAGTGCAGGAGAATTAATTTGTAGGTTATAGCGAAAATAGAACGAGTATCATGTAGGATATCGAAAAGCGGGAAATAACTCCGAAGGTTTGTTATTGGAGGATGGGATTGATGACAGAAAATGACAAGTTCCACATTGCTAATAGTCTATTTAAGAAGGAAGTTAAGATTTATATCAGATAAAATCGATTAACTCTTATTCAAGTCAACTAATTGTTTTGCAACTATAAGTGATATCCTCTTTATCATCTCTTCTAATGGTCATTGTCTTGTATGCTTGAGCAATACTATACCAAGGATGCAGAAGGTATTCCATCATTAAGTCAGAAAGTAGTAGAAATCGACTAGTGTTGATTGTTGAAACCATTGGAACTCTGTTAGTTAAATCCCTGACTTGACAATAGAGTTTGTACCGATGTTAAATTTAAAGTGAATACATTCCTTGTCGAATTAGGACACAAAGTTCTGAGAATGTATGCGACATTGAAGCTATATGCTATACGTAAATTTAAGCAAAACTGTTTGCACCTCATAACATCCACCTCGGATATTAACTATAAGACAGGAAACAAAGCTTCAGCAATGGTTGCAAACGAAAGAATGTGTGCTAGCGTATTTGTTGTGTCTTTTTATTATCAATTAATGAGAAATTTTTGCTTTGCAGTAATCGGGACAAAAAAAAACCCATTTGATACACTTACTTGTAACATAGCTCATCTGCGCCATGAAATTTATATTACAAAAACTTCTGGCTACTATAACTTCTGTCAAAGCAAAGGTCCTATCCTAATATTTGCTTAAACTTCACGCTAATTCCAAGCATAGATCTTTAGTTATAGTGATTTTTGAGTTCAAATAAAATGGTGGAGGAAGAGCAGCGTTATTGTGAGTTTAAATTGGCAGCTACTGGAAGCTAACATAAATTTATGGTGTTGGTGGTATCAGTTGATCTCAGCGCTTTTTATTTTTATTAGTTGTCCGAAAAAATCATACTACTTCTCTGAAAAACTCTTATTATTGCGTTTCAATCAACTATTACAATTTCTTAATGCAGTTATTTTTACCAAGTCGCTTTTGTGTAAGATATCGAATAATGAAAATTTTCAGCGTATCAAGGCAGTAATGTATCCACAAAACGGTAGAACACGTATGGTGAGTTCAGATCGCCAAGCAGATTTTGCACCTGATCATGAACGTTTTTCTTCACGAACTAATACAGTATCCCCAGCACGTAAAGGACATGCAAGGATTTCTAGTGATTACATTTCTTTCCTGTCTAGTGCTGCTCCTCCACCAATGACTATTGAAAATAATCAAAAGGCAGTGGTCGCTAGCAGCGAATCACAACAGCAACAAGTCTCAGTGCGTAAACAAAAACCAACTACACAGCAAACACAACCAAAGTAGTATTTTTCTTTGTGAATATTAAATTCTATTATTCCAAGTTCAAGATTATCTCGAACTTCATCATGAAGTTGAAATCCAAAAGTAAGTGAGTTTGACAGGAATTTAGGAGTAATGGATTTTTCAACGCAATTTCAAGCAAAAAAAGAAAAAAAGAAAGGAATCAGACAAAAAAAACCTGTCTTTTCCCATTCTAATTTACAATAACTTTCAAAACCATTATTTAAAGAAAGTTCTATATAGCAAATACTGCATTACTTCCTTTATCATTCTATTTTCAATATTCCTTTAATTTGTCCTTTTCAATTTCGCTATATAAAGCAATTTTGAGGTTTTTAAGGTTTAAAAGTGGTCAACGAAGGGTCATAACTCGGCCGGACAGTGATATCTCATCAATTAGTGAATGGCGAACATCGGATGGATTCCCCAGTCGAATAGATCAAGATGGAAATCAACGACATGAACAACAGCAGCAACGGAAAAAAGAAGAGCGGCATCAACAGGAGGAAAAGAGGAGGAAACATGAACAAGAGTATGAAGAGGCTTTGCAACAATTGCGCATACAACAGGAACAACAAGAAATTTGGAAGCAGGAAGAGGAACAGAGGAGGATTCAGGAGCAACAAAGACTGCAGGAAATGCAAAGAAAGCACGAAGAAAGACAACGTCAGGAACAACAAAGATTTCAGCAACAAGTGGTTTCTTCAAAATTTCTTCAGTATTCTTTGAATCTCTGGAAACTCTCAGTTGGGACTTGCTGAAATAATTTTAATATTCTTTATGAATCTTAGCAAGCATTTAATTCAATTTTAGGAATTCGAGAGAAGAATCGAAGAACAGCAAAACTTACGTGAACAAAAAACGATAAGCGAATTTTACACTGATGCAAGTAGCGAAGATCATGAATCTCATCTAGATCCAAAGGATGAAAACAACTGGAGACAATTCAAAGCTCCGTTGCATCACCAGAACGTTCACAGTCAGTTTTAAAAGCTCTCTGATAATTTTGGTCACTGATAAAATTACCACTTCAAATATTATTGCAATATATTATATGAAGGCGAAAAAAAAGGTTGACATTTAAGCGCTACCTGGGTAAATAGTGAAAATAGTGAAATAGAACATGAACATCGTCGAACGATTAAAGATGAATTACTTTTGCAGCAGAACTTACCAATAATGGTGGAACATATGAAAGGTGACAGTAACACTAATCTTACTAAAGTGAATTACTAGTACCATAAGCTTTCCTCTTATGGTTTATGTGGTGCTAGATATCATCTGACATGTTCATTTTCAGATTATATAATGACAACGAGTGTACCCTATGATTCCATTAGTCCAGCAAAGAAAACTTCATCTCTATATGACGTAGGAGATGAAGAAGGAGATTATGATTATTCTCAGGTGGTTAGTGAAACAACCATTGCTCCAACTGAGAGGGTTAGAATTGTATTATTTTAAGTGATGAGTTATTAAGTTTTAATTTCATTATGCAGTTCAATCACAAAGTATCTAATTTTTTCGAAGGTTTCAGGAACAAACTTTGCAATAATCCAATGTTTCCTATCATCAAAAACTAGTTTAAAATCTTGTAAATTATAATGGATAAGAAGGATGAAGAATGACATTAATAATTCAATTATGGATTGTTTTAAAAATGCATCATATAATCGAGCAAATAAAAGTACATAATATAAATGAATTTATAATTTATAAGTTTTGAAATTTTATTTTAAAAAAAACTGTTGAATTTCCAGACACAAATCTTAGGTACGAAACCTCCAGAACACTCGCCATTCTTGTTCGAGCATCAAGTGCCATGCGCTGCATTTACAGATCAGATATGCATTGAGCAGGTACTGTAAACTTTCCAGATCCAAATCTCAGACAAGAAATTTTCCTGAACAAATTTTTAAAACGATGAGACTCAGAAGGTATCGAGAGATTGAAGAGCAATTGTTATGTAAGTTCCTTTCAATTATTCAGAAAAAAAGGATTGGTGCAGATAAGATGAGCAAATGCTGTGATAAGGGGATTTACTTGACGGATTTATGCGTACCGGGACGTTGCACAAATGCCACTACTGAACTGTGCTGTATGCAGAAATTTCTCCAGGCTTGTTTCTTTCCTTTTGCCTTAACATTAAATCGTTAGCTAATTAATATTACATAAAAAGAGTTTATTATAGCCTAGAATGCTATTTTGGCACATCTTGGGTTTCTTCCAAGAAGTCTAACGTTGAATTAGAAAAATACTAACAATATTATCAGCTGTGGATTCGAAACAATTTCCTAATGAAAGGTTTTTAAAAATGACGTTGTGAAACGAGATTTCCTTCCCTACTCAGTGATATTTAAATTTCGATATTTTACAATTGCAGTCTAAATACAAATGCTGTTTGAATGACAGTAAAACAATTAACTCTCCCGGTGATGCATTCAGTCGTTGTTGTTTCCATAAATTTGTACAGGATAATGTTAGTTCTTTCTTATAATTGGCGGTATTTAGCAAGATATTAATTCGAAATGTATCTGTTCTAGTTTTGGTTAAATTACTGAAGATAATTAAAAAGTTCACAATGTTTGAAGAAATTCGAAAGATAAATTTCTTTAGCAAAAATGTAAGATGGAGAAGGAAAAGAAAAAGAGACAAGGATTGGAGACTGGGGGTTAAGGAGGAGAATCTAGGATTTTTTCTGGGATAATCTGAAAATTCCTTAGCAAATTTTATTGGAAAACAAAAAAGTAAATTTAGTTTCGATTGCTTCTTGTACTTTCAGGATAAATGCTGTCCAGCTCATCGTGCTAAATTTCACTGGTTAACAGCACATGAGATATGTCTACCCAATGTTCGAGTTGATTTGAGTGGTTTGCGATTCTCGGTACGTATCGGTGACAATCATAATACTAACAACGGTAATCAGGCATTGAATGATGTAATAACAATAGATCTAAATGTGGACAAATCATGGGATCACAATTGTGAGCAAGGTACCAGAGTGTTGCAGTTCCCTTATTTACCCAATGAACTTAACAACCAAAATGAGGGCAATGAAGATGATGAGGAAAACAGATAGCGTTTAATTAAAATACTCTAATCAATTTCTTATATTTCATATATTATATATTTCTGTGTCAGCTCAATTTTGTCACCATGCATATTCATGATCTGGGTTGGTAGTGATTGAAATCAATCAATTTTCCGCTCTTTGTGTTTCCAACCTAAGAATGATCTATAATATTCCTAAGGATATGATATATATATATATATATATATATATATATATATATATATATATATATATATATATA